TGAAAACTTGTGACTTTTTCCAGTGTCCCAACACAGCTTGGCACTACTTGGCCATTGAATCAAAACAATGATTCAATCATTAACAATGAAACAGTGATGATACTATATTATATCAAAGAATACTAAACTCTACAATACTAAAGAATACAGAAAGGATACTTACAGAAGGTTAAAAAGATAATAATGAAAATCTGTGACTCTCTCCAGAGTCCTGACACAGCTTGGCCCTGATTGGCCAAAGAGTGAACACAACTCCCAGCAGAATCCAATTTAAAAACACCTGTGGGTAAACAATCTCCAAACACATTCCACAACACAGGAGAAGCAAATCAGATAATTATTGTTGTCATTTTTCTCTGAGGCTTCTCAGCTTCCCAGGAGAAAAATCCTGGGCAAAGGGATTTTTCAGAAAATGTGAATGTGACACTAACACAGCTCTGTGGGCTGATTGCTGTAATTAAGCGTCCTAATGAGGGTAGAACTGTTCATAGCACCAAATGGAACTTGCAGGGGCAGGGCAGTGAGTTCCCACCTGTGGCTGTGGGATCACACCCCATCAGGTTTCACTCTGCTGCCAGGACAGTGTGAAATAACCCTAAACACATTATATTCCCAGGGGATTGTACCTGGTTAATATTCAGAGCCATAAAATGCCCTGGCATCTCCCTCTTGGCACGTGTGGGATTGCTGCTGCTCTGGGAACAGGGTCCCTTCCCCAGGATTCTGTTTCATTGTCTTCACACAAGACAAAAGAGCTTCTTGTGCCTCAATTTACTTCTGTCAAATTGCTACTTCATTTAATCTCCTCATTGATCTGAGGCAGAGCTGCTTAATGTGCTTTGTTGGTCTCTGGGGAATTGTAAAGTTCTGAATAATTAAATTGTGAGAGAGGAGATGAAAGTGAAGTGAGTGTCACTGAGCTCTGTAAAGGGCCTGCATGATTTCAATAGAGAAGAATTGTAGTAATTTTTTTAAAAAGCCAATTCTGTTTGTTCTGTTTAGCATAAAATTGTGTTATGAAACCACTGGAAGAGGTTTTAATCCAATCTGCAAGAATTTTCCTGTGCTGAGGTGCAGCCAGAAGGGGGGAGTGTAGGCCAAGCTCTGTGGGAGCAGGAACTGGCTGAGGGGTCTGACCTAAAAGCTGGAGTGGGATAATAAACCCAGGGGAATTGTGGATTGGTGCTCCCTGGAGGGCTCTGTGTCCCAAGTGCTGTCCCTGGCATCTGACCCAGGGGTTTGTTTGTTTTGCTGCCCTTGGAATTGAAATATTGATTCCAGATGTGTTTAGACCAGGATTAAAGAGTCTGGGTTGAGCTCACACAGAGCTGCTGTTTGCTGGACTTCCTGCACTCTTGCTGCTCATTCATTATCTGGCTGAACTGGAAATAACTCTTAGAAGAGCTTGTGGAACAGAGCAGCAAAATGCTCACTGGTTGTTTGCTAGGATGGGATATTGGGAATTAGGAACTGTGACCTGGGAGGGTGGGGAGCCGCTGGCACAGGGTGCCCAGAGCAGCTGTGGGTGTCCCTGGAACCCTGGCAGTGCCCAAGGCCAGGCTGGATGGGCTTTGGAGCCACCTGGCATAGTGGAAAATGTCCCTGCCCATGTGGCACTGGATGGGTTTTAAATCCCTTCCAAGCCAAAGCCACCTGTGACTCTGTGATCTTTGTGATGTTCTAGGGTGGGAATGGTCCCATGGGGAAAACCATGAAGAGCCAACCCTTTAACCCTGTGCAAGTCTGAGGAAACATCCCATTTCTGCAGTAATTAAGGATAATTGGCAGTTCTTTGGTATTTCTCTGGGTTGTCAGATCTCTGTGTGTTTCCCTG